CCTAGATCGAAAATAGCACCAAACTCTTCGACTAATTCTGATAGAAGGTGAATGAACTCCTCCACCTCTGGCATGATTGCAGTGTGCTCCGTTCGAGCGCTAGTATGCACCGCTGTCGTTTCAAGGCACTGTAGTGACGACCCATCAATCTGCAGACTGAGCGCCCTAATTGTATCAATACCCAAAAGCGAGGTGCCTTGTTCAACGACATAAAAAAGAAGCTTTGTTGAACAGTTATTGTACGTGGCATCAGCAAAGAAGCAGCCGCACACTGGAATTTGTTTCTTCGAATAGTCCCGTAGTCTAACTTGAGCAGCTGAAAGCTGCTGACCTTCAAAAATGCTGCCTAAATAGGTTATGCGTCGAAATCGATACTGATGACCCTGAATCCACGAGGAAAGTTAACTTCGTTTCCCTAACTGCTACCGATACGTAGATTACGGCACGAGTGGATGTCGTCACGGCGAGAATGCTCAATACTTCTTCAGTTATCGAACTTTCGTCGTCTAGTTCATGAACAGGAGCGGCGTTTCTGTTGCAGACCGAGCGAAATCGACCCCTAATACCGCAACCATGACACCGCTTGTTTTTAGTGGGGCAGCGGAATGAAGATGCGTAGTGCCGAGGTGAACCGCAGCGGTAACACTGACCCTGTTGGCTGCGCGACCGCTTCGAGGGATGGCAAAAGATGTAGGTGGAGGAGTGTTTCCGCAGGCATTTATGCTCTGAACATCTGCAGTAGCAAATTCTTTGCAATCATTGGTTGCCTGCTCAAACTGCGTCGCTATTAGTACAGCTCGAGCGAACGAAATAGAAGACCCTTCAAGCAGCAACCACTCGTGCAAGTTCCGAGATAATACACCCGCAGCGATCTGGTCCCGCACAGAATCTTCCTGTGAAGGAAAAGAGCACGTAGCAGAAAGCTCACGTAACGCGGTAATGTACTCAATGATTGCTTCACAGACTTGCAGCACGCGCCTACCTAACCGGTGCCGTTTGACCACAACATTTGTTGTTGTCGTGAAGTGCGCATGCATCGCTGCGACAGCGGTATCGTACGACGACGCTTCATTCTGTGTCTGAGAAGTGTACTAGACAGCTGCCGAATCCATATCAGTATTTATAGTTGGCTCACCGGACTTTGCGTTGGCCGAAGATTGAAGCGGTAGTGTGTGAAATGTGCGCTGGCCTTCTACGCCGAGGCTGTGGTTAGGAGAGCCTTGCCACGGTACGGAGCGCAGTCCGAAACACCAGATTCGAGCAGGAAATTTTCGAAGATGCGGATCTATTGCGGCCAGGCAACAGCAAGGCGGCCAGGCGTGGACAGGAACGGGGGTGATGGTGCTAGTCCGGAAACACTAATGGCGCGGGAAACAATCAGCGAAAATGACGAAAACCACACCCCCTCCTAAACGAGCACCCTCGTCGGTAATGTACTTGCGGCGTGTGCCGCCGATGAATGAACGACTAGAGAACTTGAGTGCCCATCGGAACAAAACCCCTTTATTCCAACTTGAGCATGCTTATACACGCAAACAACACTGGCGTCACCTGCGGCAGTGATCGCTGAACCGAAACCATATAGACCAATATGCTACAGGTATACGTTCATCGTGCGCTTGCAAAATAACGTTGCCCGACGCTATCACATGACTGCTCAGAGAGTGCAAGGGGTAGAGGCCACAGCCTCTCGCATCCTTACAGCATGCACGGAATTTCTACGCGATAGCGACAACTGACGGCGATGAGCGGCAAGCTTTGTTGCCGCGTAGGTTCATCCGTCCACGCTGCTTGACGCGTCGTGCGTTTATGGAAACCTAAAAAAAATGCCTTGTCGTCCGGAAGCCAGCATGGTGATTTCCGGCCACATGGTTGTGCCCCCGGTGTTCGCCTCGCTCTCGATGCCTGTTATCAGCGCGTACTTCAAGAAATGCAAGGTATTAACTACCTCTTGTGCATTGTCATCTCACACGAAGGGTATATAGATAGCGGCCGTATTTTGTCTTAAATCTCGTTGTCGAAGTTTTGTTCTGAAGTCTCGTCGGTAGCTCTCGACAGTTTGGTCGCTCACTACAGCGCATAATCCTCGTGCGAAGTGCGTCGTAGCCCTCGTAGCGTACGCTTCTGGGCAGCCTGCTGTGGTTAAACCAAAGATTACGAAAAAAAGGCCGTGAAATGCTTTTGTGACTTCCTTAGTCCAAACAAGACAGTAACGCGTTTGGCATGCTGTCATGGCGCGACGCAGAAGTTTCTCGCTGTCCCTTGTCGCTGTCGCTCAGAAATCCTGTGCATGCGATTAGTGCTTTACACAATCACTTACGCAGGCCCGAACGCGCAAGCGCGTGCCAGCGTCTTTTGGCAGTGCATGGGCTAGCTGTTGCGCATGCGCAGTAAGAATGGTCACGTCACACATCGGACTGATCTCCGCCATAGCTGCTTGGGATCTCATAATGCCCGGCAGAAGTTAAACCCATTAGTTAGCTCAGAAAGATAGAGGACGTGTGAGTGTATGACCCGTGCTACTCTCAGCAGTTCAACTCATGAGCTGCACTATATATTAAACCACAATACTTTGTGGTTTAATATATTTGGCGCGGTATGAAAGGTTACAATTAAGCTCCCCCGCCCCCCAATATTTGGCGCGGTATGAAAGGTTACAATTAAGCTCTTTCAACATGCATGAACGATGCTTTGAGAAATCTTGTGTGTTCTTGAATGCCACATCAGCTGTAATTGACGCATCAACTGAAGGACACCGAACTTGCCCGACAGATTTGCCACAGTGATGGCCGCCAGCGACTAGTGCTGTCGCTGCTTCAGAGATCCGAGTGTCTAACGTGTTGATGCTTTAAAAAATACAATGCAATAGCCACTACTTCGGCTGTCAGGAACACATAATTATTTCTAACACAAGCATTTAGCAATTTATTCAATAGAGCTTTTGTCACAGCCATGCTTTGACTGTAGCCGTGTGCTATTCAGTACTCTAGAATGCTGCAAGTTCGATCCTTGTGATTAAATTAAGACTATTGAAAATACGTACAGGTATTTTTTGCAACACCGAACAATTTCACGACGCAAACGTTCGTCGAACGTGGCCGTTCGCAAAATACCGGTGAGCTACAAAAGTAATGACAAAGTTGTGGATGATGACCATATCTGTGCGTTTTCTTCTTCAAAGCATTTGGCCTCGCTGGTCAATATCGTCCATGTTGGCATGCAGCGTGTGGCACTCCTTATCATCATCGATATTTGCGCTGCATGCAATTCAGAAGAAAAAAATATGCTTTTACTTAAATCAGGTATACAATCAGGATGTAATAGAAGCGTGAAAAAGAAACATTAATGCATGACAGGACGTCAAGTGCTCCAACTCGCTCCTCGTAAGCTGGCAGCTGATCGTTGATCGTCAAGTAAAGCCAAATTTTATTTACAACATGCATGAAGAACAATGTTGATGGCTACCCTAGCTCTCACTCTCGGTGCTTTCACAGCCTTCTACGTCCAGTGAAACGTTTTAGACGCCTGCTGTCTTTCAACATAACTGCTGGAAGCAATCAGAAGAATTGCCTCCGGGGTGCGACCTTCACCAGGGTGCCCATACCAAAAAAATGGCGGCATATCCACCGAGTGAATGATGGATAGTGGGGCGAAGCATGCGTCCGTCCATTCGTTCTTCCTTCCGTCCATCCATAAGTGCGTCTGTGTGGCCGCCCGTGCGTCCATCAGCCCGTCCGTGCGTGCGTCTGTTCGTGTATCCGCACGTTCATCTGTGCGTCCGTCCCTGCTTTCGTCCATGCGTCCATTTGTTCGTGCAGTTATCCGTGCGTCCGTCCATGCATCTGTCTGTGTGTCCATTAGTCCACCTATTCAACACTCCAAGTACCATCATCTCGCATCTTTTCATCATATATTCATCATATAGAAGCACTGCCATCCAGCGGGCATTCCAAAGACCTAATGAGAGGAGGTACACGCACACTTTCTTACGGTTTGCGTTTCGTGTCTACTTCCTACCTCTAACCACCTCGAGTTCATGGTATACACTAGTTCACTGTATTCATGGCACTGCGGCCCAACGCTCACTAAACCTTTCTAAAACCTGGGAGGTTAGCCCCAGCGAGTGTAACGTAGCAACCCTTTCTTGTCTTCTGTGTGTTGTTGAACAATAAAAATTCGCAGCGTGCGCGTTAACTAAATGCCGAATTCTCCAGTCTCTCATTCCCCCTTAGCAGCCATCGGCAAGTACATTGAGCACTATCTTTTATTGTTCAACAACGCACAGTAGAAATCTCTCACCGGCACCACCTTGGAGGTCAAAATGTTATACTTGTTACACACTACGACGGCTACGAGGGACGAACGGGGGCTGCTATAAAGAACTTCGCCCCTAAAATATATCCACGTCACTTGGCTTGAACTCCGTGTTCTACACGTACGCTCACCCCGCGAGAAATGGCGGCCGGCCAAAAGCGTAGAGGCGACGCGCGTAGCATTTCTCAGTAGTCTGCCAATTGCGTTCATTATTCTAACGTGCCGCGAGTAGCCTACCTCAGCCAAAGATGGACGTCCATTTGGTGACGGGTCTCCTGGCTGTCCTACTACTTTCTATTGCAACTACCACAAGCATCTACGAACACAGCGATATGTTTATTCAGTGTTCATGTACGTTGGCCGTCCGAATGAAATTATATCGCTAAGCGTCAATAAGGATGCGTTCAGAATAAACGGTGCTGTAGCGGTCAATTATCAAGAGACATTGTGCAAGGTGTCTTACATCGATGCACTGTAAAAATTGAACTAGATCTGTAAGAACAAGTTCATTTTCTTGTAACACCAATATGACTAAAGATCAAGCATTTTTCAAAAGCAAACACTTACAAACTCCTGCTTGTCAAGAAACCTCAATAAAAACAAGCAAGGCAAGAGACAAAACCAGTGAAACCAGTGTTCGTATTGCCTTTTTGACACCTTTGCGGATTCGGCCCCTCAGCTGGCAACTATGGCAGCGCGGTGGTGGTGGACTCTGTTTTCGAGCTGGTGACGCTGCTCCGGCGGCTCACAGACTCGGGAAGCTCGACCTTCTCCATGGCAGTGAGAATGTCACTCAGTGTCACCTTCAGCGCTCCCGACGGGTCCACAGCCCGGTCGTAAACGCGCTCGCACACGGCACGTGCGTTGCGCTGCGCATCCGCTGCCAACATGGCCAGGAAGGTGCTCGTGAATCCTTCGGTGCGCTTCGCCAGGTGCCTGTGGCGCAGCACAGAATGATAACTCAACTTCTTGACTAGGGGGAAACAAAAAAAAAACTATATTCGAATCGTTCAGTGTGACTCATTAGTATACCCCTGTCAGGCAAGTGCAAATACCCAGAGGGCGTTTCACGCATTAGTGAGTGAATTTCAGCAAATGCGGAGTGTGATTTGCCAGAGCATATTTCTCACGCTCTTCGGCAGTGATTGTAAAGTTAAATATTGCTTTGCTTTTTGTGCTTAACTTCCCAAAGCAACTTAAACAAACGAATGTGTGTTACTCGTGTCCTGGATAAAATCAGCGATCACTGCGCCGTACATTGCTCTTTATCTATCCCACTGCCCGATAATATCATAACGGACACATACTCAATTATGCACGCACCGATGTTGAGAAAATGAATTATATGCTGGAAGAGATTACACCCCAGTTCGAAGCCATCTTTGAAAATTGCACTGCAAATAAAAACTGCAATAAATTTTGTGACATACTAAAACGAATCGAAGATAGTTGCGTACCAAAAATGGCTATTAGACCAACCAAAAAACGATCCGTGGTTCATACAGGATGTGAAAAAAAGTCTTAATAAAAAGAACCGTGCACTTAGAGAGGCGTCTCGGACAAATTCGACAGCAGACTGGGATAACCATAGGAATGTATCAAGAAAAACCGAAGCCATAATTAAGGAAGCCAAATGTAAATTTTTCGATTGCACACTGCCTAAACTCCTCAAAACTGACCCTAAAAAATTCTGGCAAGTGGTAGACCCTAGAAACGCTAATTCTCCGACCTTGCTAGACGGTGAGCTTGGCGATTTTCCGTCAGCTGAGGAAACTGCGGAAATAATCAGCGATCAGTTTGCATCGGTATTTTCAAATGTGCTTCTACTAGATTCCCTCGACCTACCAGATACCGTCATTCATGATACCTTTCTCCCAATAGAAGTCACCTAAAATGGCATAGCACGTGCCATTGAGCGACTTGAGTACAAGACGAGTCCAGGGCCCGATGGCATTAGCTCCAAACTTCTGAAAATAACCGCTCAAAATCATCGTACCTATTGAAACCAATATTTGAGCAGTCACTGAACACAGGTTGCGTCCCTGATGATTGGAAGTCCGCATAAATGGTACCTATATTCAAATCTGGGTTAAAATCATGTGCTAATAATTACCGGCCAATCTCTCTTACTTCTATTCCGTGCAAAATACTCGAGCATATTCTGTTTACGCACATCGTATCTCACCTCAATAAAAATAACTTGCTAATGGATAATCAACATGGCTTCCGCAATAACCACTCGTGCGAAACTCAGCTGTTCGAAATGGTAGCTGACCTTAATAATTATCTGAATAACTCCCACTACACTGACGCAATTGTTATAGATTTTGCTAAAGCGTTTGACCGCGTGCAACACAAAAGGTTGATGACTAAAATCTGTAATCTACAGCTAGACGATAAAACACCCAGTGGATAAGCGGTTTTTTTACTAACAGGGTCTGGTAAGTTAAACTTAACAACGTTATCTCTCCTCCCAGACCCGTCAAATTTGGGGTACCCCAAGAATCCGTACTAGGCCCTCTGTTGTTTCTAGTCTATATTAATGATATCGGATCCAATATTAACTCTTCACTGCGCCTCTTTGCAGACAATTGTGTAATTTTTAAGGAAATCACCAAACCAAACGACGTAAACATCTTGCAGTCCGACTTGACAAATTTATCAGAATGGTGCCGTTTATGGCAAATGGAAATAAATGTAAACAAAACCAAACACGTACGCTTTTCATCCGTTGCACATCCTTCGCCCAATGAGTAGGTCATAAAGAACTTGGTAATTCAGAGAGTTCCATCTCTTTATTATCTAGGTATTTTATTCTACTTTGATATAACCTGGATTAGCCACGTAGAATACATTACCGCGAAAGCACTACGGAAACTTGGTCTTCTTGAGCGCCGCCTGAAACTTGCAAACAAAGACACCAAACTTCACGCATACATTACTGTTATCCAGCCAACCCTAGAATATGCTTCCATAGTATGGCACCCGCACACAGCAACCCTTACTGATACGCTCGAAACTGTCCAAAACAAAGCCGCGCGATTTATTTTGTCACGTTATTCCCGCTATGAAAGTGTATCATTCATTAAGAAAAAATTAAATCTCCCCCCTTTTGCCTTGCACAGGAAATATTTCCGCTTATCTTTCTTCCACAAATAATACCACAGTGATTCGCCGTTCTGCTATACGTTCATTAACCCTGCTTTGTACATCTCCGCACGCATTGACTATGATCATAAAATTGAACCTATATTTTCTCGCACAAAAACACCAATGCTCACCCCTTGTCTTAGCGATAACTGAGTGGAACGCTCTGCCTGCCAGTATTGTAACGCATACACAGCAATCATCTTTTCAGTCTGCATTATTTGCGTTCCTTGAATGTGTTTGACAATCTTAGGCATTGCTGTATAACGTGTCGTGCAGCTTTTTCAATGTGTTCGCTTGTGAAAACCTTGCTGTTATTTCTTGCTTATCTTGGTTGACGGACTGTGTATCTTGCGCATGTTTTCTTGTCTTCTTTTCTTGTTAAAGAATTGCTGTTGTCATTGATTACTGTATGAAACCCCCCTTATGTAATGCCCTAAAGGCTCTTAGGGTATATAAATAAATAAATATAAATAAATAAATAGTGAAGTGTTCCTGCCCTGCCGCTGTGGCTTAATGACTAAGGTAGTCGGCTGCTGACGCGCAGGTGGCGGGATCGAATCTCGGCTGCGGCGGCTGCATTTGCGATGGAAGTGAAAATGCTGTAGGTTCATGTGCACAAATTTAGGCGCAGGTTAAAGTACCTCAGGTGCTCGAGATTTCCGGAGCCCTCCAATACAGCGTCTCTCGTATTCACATGGTGGTTTTCGGACGTTATATCCCACGTATAAAAAAAGCACTGCACCCTGAGTGAAATCATATTTAAATTTTGGCATAGATATGTAGCCATATATATATGTCAGAAAACAGAAAACATATTGTGCGATATTTTTTTCTAAGATATTGTAGGCGTGAGCTTCAATAAAAAGAAAGGACACATGAAATTATAAAAAAGAAAAAAGAAAAAAAATGCGGTGTAGAGGCAATTTCTGACAAATACTTTGCTTGTGCGTTTCTTTTACGCTCATGGTGGCTGGAAGGCAATTTCAATATAATGTACGGTAGTGGTATGAGGACTGTTCATTAAATGCTACTATCTCGGATAAAATGCTAAGAGCCTCATTATTAGTCACGTCGCTATTACATATACTGCCATCGATAAGATACCACAACAGCTCTTTAGAAAGTGAAAAAGTGTATTGGGTTGCTCTAACGACGTGGTTTTAGTGCGCAAGCGAAGGTCGTACCTCATTTCGTGGCTTGAACATCGTAGTGCGCTTTCCACTTCACTTCACTTTATTACCTTAAAGACCTCTTAGAGGGGGTGTTACATAAGGGGTGGGAAACATATAACAATTGTAATACATATGCAGGATGGGTACAAGTATGAACAGGGGTAACCAATACAGAAATAAAATAATACATGTGCAGGATGAGTATCCATAATAACAGGTGTAAAACCTTGCAAAAAAAAAGAAGACAAAGCGAGAACCAGTGGCACAAAAAGGAACAATGTAATGTACTCAAATTGAAGAGAAACGAGTGATATTTTGTGTAAATTTTGAGTGGCACATTATGGTGGCGAAATCAGTGGAAAGGCCATTCCAGTCGGAAGCTGCACGAAAAAAGAAGGAGGCGGAAAATGTCGTGGTACGGGCGCGTGGCCTGAAGACATGAAAGGAATGAGTGGTGCGGTGAGATGTGCGGACAGGAGGCAAGATATAGGGTGGGTGGCCGAGTTGACTGTGACAGAGCTTGTGGAACAAAATGAGGCTGACAACTCGGCGATGAATTTTAGGCTGTGAAAAAATATATTTTGTTTAAGAGATGAAACACTCACGTTATATGAATACGAGGAATGAATGAATCTAGCTGCTCTATTCTGGAGTCATTCTAGTGCGTCGGTTAAGTACGCTTGATGAAGGCTCCAGATAGGCGACGCGTATTCAAGTTGGGTGCGAATTAAAGATTTCTAAGCTGATTAGCACAGCTTTGTATACCTTTCGCATGACGTTGTGTGTGTTGCTTACTTATATTCCAGAAGTGTGTTTACTAACTTGTATTCTTGTTTCCTAGTGCCTTACGATGGCTTGCAAACATTGATGTTAATCCATATGTTGTGGCCACAGCGATACCGATACGAATTTAAGAATTGCTGTTAGTTATAAACCATGCTGAAAAAACAAATAGAAAGGCTTTCTGGTGTCGGAGAAAGCTTGTTTCTTGCTTTGACTTTGTTCCTTCTCTTCCTTTTTTGTTCCCTTCTTTTTTTGCGACATGCTCTATCGTAATTCAAGCGGTCGGTTTTGAGATATGTAGTGGCAGTTTTAGGGCAAAATCGCCTTGGCGTCTTTTACGTAAGTACAATGTTCGTCAGCCGCTAGAAGAGCCCAATAAAAGGACCATCACACGTTCCTGAAAACGTGGTCTCATAATTCAGGTTGTCATTTTTTTTTGAAATATGCGATCCTAATATTGACCTTGCACGTTGACCTTGCATATTGACCTTGAATATTGACCTTGCATCGCTTTTTATTCAAAACATGATATATTCCAATGAAGCACCAAGGGTATAATTTCTCGATTATTTATTGCATCATCTGCAGCATGCCTGGGCATGCTTCACTTCAGCTCCTAATGGGCGAGCTCAGCGTCGTGGAGTCAAGGCGCTCAATTTCAATGTCGAGTCCCGACTCTTGTTTTTATCCCGAAGAAAGTAATTTTTTCATCTCCTTTTGATCCGCGCCTACTATGAATGAAGGTGATTTTCGGTGAGCACGTCACGAGTTTTTTGCCCTGGTGGCGTGTTTTTCCGAGCACCCCAATGACCGGTCGCGGGATCTCCATAACCCACACAACGCAGGTCGCGGCATCCAATTCGAACTTCGGCTGCTGCATTTTCGATGGAGGCGAAAATGCTGTTCGTTCGTATACATGCTCAGACTCGGGTGCATGTTAAAGAACCCCAGGTGCTCGAAATCTTATAATCATATGGTGGCTCTTGAACGTTAAACCTAACATAATAATCAATGAAACACAACCAGTTTGGCAATTGGGTCAATACAAGGTTCGCTTGCAAGGACCACGAAATCGGATGACGTACCTGTAGTCCTCGTCGGTGAGGGCAGGACTACGCACAAGCTGCTTGAGCAGGCGCAGCCTGTCGGCCTCTTGCGGCAACGGCGAAAACAAGATGCGTTCGAACTGCGACCGCACATCGTCGTCCAGGAGCCACGGGTTGTTGATGACGCCCATCACGAGCACGGGGCCCACCTTGGTCGGCAGCCGGGACACGCGCTCGAGCCACGCGCACTTTAGAGCCCGCAGGCGCTCCTGCATCAATTCGTGAAAAACGGGAATACGCGTACTCGTGTCACGTCAGACCTGCTTTGCTTGTCAGGTGGAAGTCGCAGACTTGCAGACAACCAATTCCCACGTTTGTTTGCACGTCCAACAGTTATCACGTAGTCATCATAATTCTCTTCCCACTGCTGATAAAAACTATAAAAACCGCCAATCTTCGTAATAATACGCAGTATAGTGCAAGGGCTGCCATTATTAGTATTCGAAAAATTGGTAAACAGGGACTGTGTTCAGCCGACATTTCGACAAGCGGACTTGTCTTCTTCAAGGCTTGAAGAGAACTGATTTCTTTAGCGCTAGCGTGCCTACACTTCGTACCTTCTCCTCCATTTGAACAAATGTGGCGGCGAGCAGCATTGTATACACGGGAATAAGAGAGGGAGGGAAGTGAGGGTGCTGTGACCAAAAAAGAACAGGTATTTCATGAACAAAAGAAAAATCAGATCATATTCACGAGGTGAATGATAATGAGGGGCGAAAAGCGCTGGATGGTTTCATTGCTAAACCGTGAACCATCCTCGAATATTGCCCACTACCTCATCAAAGACGTGACAAACACTGTATATATTTATACAGGAATTTTTATTAATCGTAAGTGGTAGCTCTACGTCGTTTCCTTCCCTCTTCATTATAACGGCATTATGGTTAGTGAAGAGGTGCATTAGTGATAGGGATGTTTGCATGGACGAAATGGTGGGCAGTTGAAAAAGGTGGAACTGTAGGCAGGCAGTCACGTACATACATACATACATACATACGTGCGTACATACGTGCGTACATACGTGCGTACATACATACATACGTACATACATACGTACGTACATACGTACATACGTACGTACGTACGAACCTACATACCTACATACCTACCTACATAGCTACATACCTACATACCTACCTACATACATACATACCTACCTACATACCTACATACCTACCTACATACCTACATACCTACCTACATACCTCCATACCTACATACCTACATACATACCTACATACATACCTACATACATACCTACATACCTACATACATACCTACATACATACCTACATACCTACATACATACATACATACATACATACATACATACCTACATACATACATACATGCACACATACATACATGCACACATGCACACATGCACACATGCACACATGCACACATGCACACATACATACATACATACATACATACATACATACATACATACATACATACATACATACATACATACATACATACATACATACATACATACATACATACATACATACATACATACATACAAGGTATGGACAGACCCACGCCTTTGGGAGCTTCGCCCCTAAAAAGAAGGGGAAGGCTTGGACAGCTAAGGATGTGTACATGCCGCTGAGTACCGGTTGTTGAACAGGTTGTCGGAAGTTAACAATGAGAGGTCAGAAATTCTTAGATGGGTGGCCTAACTCGCAATAATTTTACTTGTATGCACCATACCGAACAGACTCCAGAGCCCCTTTAGAAGCGTTTATACCTAGTGGCTGGAGTGTAGTGACCTTGTGATAAGGTATGACTGTATATATCTTCGTTCTAGTGCGGACCGAAAGTTTAAAGTGTGTGGAGGTTGAGATCGTTGAAGTTGTGTCCTGCTACATTAAAATGGTGTGCCACTTCTTTCGGTGATTTCGTTGCTTTGTCCGCCCAATGACCATTAATTCTAACACTAACACTCTGTTTTGTCAATGTACTGTTTACGGCAATATGAAAATATTCTTATTATCATACCAGTACCCTCTCTTCCACTTTCTAACACACCATATCTAATGTTTCCCCTCCCCCTTCTTTATGAGGATATAGGAGAGGGCGCAAACCGTAGGCACACTAGCACTAAAAAGATTGATTCTGTTCTAGCCTTAAAGAAGATAAGTCCGCATGTCGAATCTTCGGGTAGACAAAACCACTGTTTGCGTATTTTTCACCGCGAGTGGTAGTAAATGGAAGAAAAAAGCTGCCTTGCACCACGCGCCTACTATAATAATCAGGATTCAGTGTGGAGTAAAACGTGGGGGGAAAAGGCAGGCATGCCGTCCGTCTGTGTTTTTGCCGAAACCCAGGAATACTACGTCTCCCGCTGAAACTGAGGGCGAGAACGGCGAGTCATGGAAATCCATGACTCGCCGTCATTTATGGAACAGCTTTCGTCACCTGGAAGTTCACGAGGTGGAAGGTCATGGGGAATACTATGGCTCTGGTCTGCCCTTGCCCTTCAAGACGACGGCGCGAGGTTCACAAAGCGAGGGTACCCATGCAGAAAGGACAGCCGCATCCTGTCAGCCCAGCCCTCGGTGCATCTTACGGCATGTCTACTCATCCAAATAATTTTAGTTTCGGCTACAGCTAGGCGGCTCCCGAGGCCAGGACAATAAAATTTCGCTACGATGACGCCCGTCCTGCAGGCCTAGCCTTCGAAGCCGACTATTCATTACTAGACCCGCCATGTTTGCACGACGATAGTCATTTCCAAAGTGCTAATGTAAAAACGGTGAAGACTTTTAGTGAGAGTAGTTGTGAAGGCGCCAAATTTAGATCAAATTGCGCGCGTCCACATTCTTCACTTTGACGAATGAGACGGAAGTACTGAGGAGCGCTAATGAGACCGACAAAACGATTGATGACGACCTGAAGCGACTTCAACATACCACAAGTTATTTGTACACGGCATTGGATGTAGCCTTAAAATAAAGTCAGAAGACAGCAGAAGAAAGAAAGGAAACAGTAACGCGAAACGGCAAGCTCAAGGATAGTTGATCATATCTTGCATTGATGAGACAACAATAGAAAAAATTGGACTTCCAACTTTACGACGTCGTACATATTGAGAACCTTGAAATTGACTCTGAGACTTGGGATAAGTGTGACTGAAACAACTCAAGTAGTATATCAGGCCTTCAACTCCAATTAGTGGTATTAGAGGAAAGATAGTTTCATGCGCCCACCAAAATTTCACTGACGTTGTATAAAAAAACGAACTACTCGTAAGGCGAGAGAATTTTCATGAATGTCAACGGCGATAATGCTATCCCCATAACAAGTTTTGCTGTCAATTAGCAACATGGCCTACCCACTAAAACTCACAGCAATGTTGCCAAAGAAGAAGTAGTCATACCAGTTCAGACTGAACAGCAGCCCTATAAAGCAACGTGAAACAGTTGTGCCAAAAAATGATGTCCTAGGACTTCAGTTCAGTTTCAGTTTCAGTTTATTATTCATTTCAAAAAAGTAGTACAGTAATATTAATATACAGACGAGGGTCCCAAAGTTAAAAACTGTAACGGGACCCTCGATGCATTATAAAAATCAATAAATCAGATCAAGTTAACAAGCAACGAGTGAATGGAAATCAATTATACAATATAGAGGGATGAGTAATTTTTATAGGCTAAGTAACACATCAGGCAACAAAAAGCAAGGCAAATAAGGAAAGAAAAAAGAAAGAACGAAAAAAAAAACATCTCGTTCAGTGGCGGACATTGTCAATCAAAATGCAATGATCTAAATGGCATAACCAAAAACGCAAAGCCCCCAAAAAGCCCATATACAGGAAGCTAATAATTTAACAGAAAACTTTTAAGCGACTTTTTGAAGGATGACAATGTGGGCATCGTTTTAACAGAAAGAGGCATGTTATTCCAAAATGTAATGGCCGCAAAGGCAGAGGTCATTTTTCCATAATTTGTGCGCGACGCGGGTAGCAAAAAGTTAAGGTTCATTGCAAATCTAGTTACATTGTTGTTTTGTAAGAAAACTGAATCAATGAACTCAAACGGTAGCAGTGCATTGCGCAATTGAAACAGAAGAACGGCTATGCTATAAAAAAATAACTTACGAACAGGTATGATTTTGTTGTCTTGGAGTAGATGGCCTGCACTGGAGTATCGTGAGCTATTAGTGATAATGCGGATCGCCTGATTTTGTATGTTCTGAATGGGTGATGGATGACAGTGATACGTGTTTTCCCAAGAAGCGATACCATACATGATATGGGAATGAATGAAGGCGAAATACAGAGACATAAGTACGTTTATATGAAAAACTTCACGAGTTTTTATTATAGCCCGAATTCTGAATGCAGTTTTCTTTCTGAGGTGATCAGTGTGGAGATTAAACTTTAAATGGCAGTCAAGATGTACACCAAGAAAAATTACAGTATCACAGGTGAGTATAGAGTGAGAACCTAGGGTTAAGGGTTGATGAAAAGGCAATGGCCTTTGAGCGGACCTAAATATCATAAACTTGGTTTTGGCTGGGTTAATAATAAGTTGGTTCTTGTAGCACCATTTAGTAATATCTAGAAGTGTGTTATTCAAGTGTAAAGTAAGAGCAGTTAGAGAGTCCTCAGCTGCAGTTATAGTCGTGTCGTCTGCGTATAACACGCAGTGAGTTGATTTAATTGCATCGACAAGATCATTATTATAAATAATAAATAATAAAGGGCCCAAAATAGACCCCTGGGGCACGCCTTGATTGATTAGCTTAGTTTCAGAAGAAGCGCCCGATACGTACACCGAGCATTCTCTATTGTGCACATAATTTTTCAGGAAGGTTAATGGAGCTCCAGTTACCCCATAGGCCTCCGATTTGTTAAACAGGGTGGCATGATTAATGGTGTCAAAGGCCTTGGTGAAATCTAGGAAGACAGATCCAACAAATTTACCAGAGTCAATCGATTTTTTAAAGTAATCTATTAATGAAACTAGTGCTAGGCTTGTCGAACTGCTTGAACGAAAGCCAAATTGACACGGATGAAGTATATTAAACTTGCTTAGGTAATTACTTAAACAACCAACGAACAGTTTTTCAATAACTTTGCTGAGGGAAGAAAGAATTGATATGGGACGATAATTAGAAACTTTTCTTTTGTCACCCTTCTTGAATACCGGAACTATTTTAGATTTCTTTAAAAGTTCAGGAAATACGCCTTGCTGAAACATTAGATTAATGATATCACTAACTATCCCAGAAATATTACGCGCAACCAGTTTTAAGTGATACGCAAAACTATTGTCAAGACCTGCGCATTTATTTTTTAGATTCAAGAGAACTGAGCATACTTCATCAGCGGTTACGGGCGAAAGACAAAATGAAGAAGCGACCCGAGAAACGGAACATTTTGATATGACCGATTGTGTAGTAGGAATGCTAGAAAAAAAATCGCTGAAAGCATTTGCAATAGAAGTTGGCTGTTGCAAAGAAATATTATTATATACTATTTCAGATATAGGTGAGTTTCCAGATGATTCGTTTAGAAAGTTGTTCAAAAGGTTCCATTGTTTTTTAGGGTCGCCCTGATGTTTGATCAAGTCATTTTCATAATAACGCTCTTTTGCTTCTCGGAGTAAAATTTTCAAATTGTTGCGATATTTCCTGTATCTGCGGGCAAGCGAAGTATTAAAAGGCTGTCTTTTTGTAAAGGTTATCTTTTTTACGAATACTTGTCAATAAGCCGTTTGTCATCCACGGATTGTGCGGAAATTTATACCGTTTTTTGCATTTAACAGTTGATGTACTAGATGTTACGGCCTTTAAAAATAAAGCGCAGAATTTCTGTAGCATAGCCTCTACGTCGGAGCAGGAATTATCAAGAATATCGGACTTAATAAGTGACCAGTCAGTTGTAGCTATAGCATCAATAAACTTGTCATGATCCAGCACAGATGTGTAAGAACAGCTATCGACACTGGAGCGCATAGCATTAAATGTTATGTAAACGGGGAAGTGATCTGTAATGTATGTGTCAACCACGCCAGCCTCGGGGGCGGGTGAAAAATTGCATAAGACATGATCTAAAAGAGATTGGGAACCCTGATGGCCACATATTGTTGGAGCAGTGATAAGTGATTCGTAGCCAAAGCCACTGAAGCAGTTCGTGTAAGCCGAGTAGACACTGGATTCCATATCTAATAAGTTTATGTTGATGTCCCCTACCAGTACAACTTGCTTATTCTCAAAAGATAGCTTGTGAAGTAATCTATCAAGATTTGACGGAAATTCTAGAACAGGAGATGAAGGAGAGCGATACACACTGCCAATGAATAATTTTTTTCCGTTGTTTAGGGGTGACTTGCCACATTCGATCCACACAGATTCGCACAGTGGTACGGTGAAAGACAGATCAAACCTGCGCGTGTACGAAACCCCACTGGAAACAAAAATTGGAGCCCCACCATGCGCGTCATAAGATCGGTGACAATACTCTGCCTGATACTGTGGAAAAGAATACATGTTACGGTCTGCGTCGCACAGACACGTTTCCGAAAGGCAGATAAACGAAAACTGGTGGTGCAGTAGAGAAAGAAAAGTGGTAATCGCGTCATAGTTCTTTCGGATGCTGCGAGCATTAAAACGAATTAGCGAATATTTCTGTAACGTAAGCGAATGTTTGAGGTTGCTAACGGTAATCGAAGACATAAAAAAAAAGAAAAACTTAGTGGTCGATACAGAATATGTAAGGCGTCGTTTAAATGAAAATCGAAAGGTCAGAGGCGGTATTTATTCGAAACACCCTAGTAACTTCAGACTTGCGTGCCAGGATGCGACAGTTCTCTGTCCAGAGAAATTTCCACTGGTGCTCTTTCTTGAGAGCCAGTGCCCTAGCAAATAGCTTCTTATTCTCATCAGTAAGGTGGTCATTCGTATAAATAGCCTGGTCAGAAGATTCCGAAAAGCCAATGCTGCCGGTGCGAAGCCGAGCCTTGCGAGCTTTGCGGATGAAGTCATTTTTTTTTGTCACGACTGCAAAACCGAGCAATGATGTTGTTCACTGCTGATTTCGTGGGAACACGATGCACTGTGTCTATGTCAGTAAGTGTTACAGTACATCCGATTGCATCGCCCATGCGCTTTAGAATGGCAGTACAGTCCTCGCCTTAAGTCGTTGGTACACCTTTAATTTCTATATTGTTTTGTCGAGAATATTGCTAAAGTTCAGCCAAACGGGTTTCAAGAGACTCGTTATGGGCCCTTAGCGCTTTATTTTCTGCAATGAGCGCATTCTGCTTCACACACATGTTATCGTACTGAGCACTGAGGAACTTAACGCTCTCGCATAGTTTTGCATGCTCTTCAAGGCCTTTGTCATCCAGTGTTTTGCTACCCTCCGCCTTGAACTCTTTAACTGCAGTTTCTAATTGCTCTTTAAACGCAGATTCAAGCGCTTCAATTTTTTTAGCAAGTTCAGCACAGGTAGGCATTGTATACAGGTCAAAAGCCGCGTTGAGCAGCAGTCACGGTAATTTTAACAGCACAGAATAGTTACTTAAAGTTCGCACACCAACCTGAAATAAAGAGTGAGGCGATTCAGAGCGTGCACATTCCGCCGTGACTGCTGCTGCTGCAATGGATTCCAGGCAGTCCAGAGTGGTCCTTATAGCCCCGTTTTGGATGTGCAAAGCAGGATGTGCAACCGCTGCTTGCGTATCTCTTGAACACTGTAGCTGGCGACACGCGGGCGTGACGGAGCGATGTTGCGAGGGGTACCAGGGCGATACTCAGCAGTAGTGCCTGCCAAGCAAGGAACTTGGGGCGCCTGGAAATACAAAGTGAGGCGATTCAGAGCGTGCACATTCCGCCGTGACTGCTGCTGCTGCAATAGATTCCAGGCAGTCCAGAGTGGTCCTTATAGCCCCGTTTTGGATGTGCAGAGCAGGATGCGCAACCGCTGCTTGCGTATCCCTTGAACACTGTAGCTGGCGACACGCGGGCGTGACGGAGCGATGTTGCGAGGGGTACCAGGGCGATACTCAGCAGTAGTGCCTGCCAAGCAAGGAACTTCGGGCGCCTGGAAATACAGAGTGAGCCGATTCAGAGCGTGCACATTCCGCCGTGACTGCTGCTGCTGCAATGACTGCTGCTGCTGCAACTTGACCCTCTCTTTGTCTTCTCTGGGTCGCAGGTGATCTGAAGACACTACAGTAATTACGCAACTGGAGCTCATGACTAATTCGACTTGCCTGCGAGAACAGTGTCGCACTTGTGTCACGAAGACCAAAGGAACGAGAAAGAGAAAGTAGAACTTTGCGAGAAAGCAAACAGGCTAAGACTGTTATGGAGTGCTCGTACGGAACGCTATCAGCCATGTTGTTACGGTGTATCATCGACACGAGCAATCGTGGCACTCTCCGAAGAAGATAAAGACGACTATGGGTTAAGCGCTTGCGCGAGGTCTCACTTTGCGGCTGTTAAAATTAAAACTATATCTCGCCCCGTAACTTATATTTCGCCTCGGAAGTGCAGAGTACACCGCCTCGCAAGGGAACTTCGCAGCGGTCGTCGTTTGAGGGGTCACTCTGCAACGATGATAGACAATAAGGCGTCTGCATCTGCTCCGGTGTTTCTGCGCCGCAGAAGATGCAGTGACTACATCAGCTTCTGCGAATAGAACTTTGGTGCTCGAAACCCAGTGGGATCTTGTCACTTTTAGAGATTCTGGCGATTCAGATGACGTTAAATGGCTGGCACCACTCCGATGCTGGCTAACCTTATGTTCTACCTTAGGGACCCACAAAGTTCGGTATGAAAACCATGAAGCTGAACTTGGGAGTTGGGCAACGTGCAGGCAGAAAATGTTGGATTCGTTTGGAAAGCCAATTGGAAAACAGATGGCCGCAAATAAAATGATCGCGTCTCGAGTACAAGCGCCCACAGAATCGTACATCTCATACATCGAAGATGTGATATCATTGTGTCGGAAAGCCAATGTCGAGATGCCGGAGGCCGGTGAAGTTGGGCACATTCCTAAAGGGATTGCCGACCATGCCTTCATTTTCCCAATATGCTAAGATTTACTCAACCATTGGCGCCATTATAAAGGAGTGCAGGTGTTTTATAGTGCAGTTCTCTTCCCACAACGTATACGCAAGGTTCATCCGTCACTTCCCGTCGCCCCGTGGCCATCAGCCACGATCGCTTCAAGGTCATCGTCAGTCGTCTCGCTTGCCGAAAATCCACCGGCAGTCCTCCGCGTTTAACCCTGCTCCTGCCTACCCGAAGTACTAAACGGTGCAGCACCCGGAGGTGTCGCTGCATTATTGACTTCCTCACAGAATCCTTTTTTCAAGCTTTTGGTGTGACGCAGTTTGTGAGAGTTTGACGTTGATAGTGTGAATATTGTTACCCTTATTGAAACTGGAGCGCACATTTCTGTAATGAGCACAAACCGTCGCCGACCCCTACTTCAAGTATTCACGCCCGCCGCTTCCCTCACACTCCGAGTCCCTGATGGGAGAATCCCTGCCGTTCAAGGGCTGTGTGCTATTCATTTACGTGCTGCGTGCTATTCATTTACGCTTTGGGTGATATCTCCAGTGAGCAACAATGCGACTCATCCTTACTCTTCATCATCGAGCGTCTAACTTCTGCTTCACTTGACCCTTTCGTTCGCCTGTTCGAATTGCACGACAGCCTTCTGTACCGTCGCAGCTTAAGCGCCGGTGGCACGGAATCAATACTCGGGCTTCCCAACCATATACGTACCATCGTTCTCGAACGACTCCAAGACGTACCTACAGCCGGTCACCTAGGCGTCTATGATACCTACGACTGTGTGCGACATCACTTTTTCTGGCCCGGCCTCTATCATTCTGTGGCTCGCTACGTCACTGCTTGTGAATGCTGCCAACGCCGCAAACGCTCCTCTGTGCTACCGTCTGGCCTCCTCTAGCACATCGACATACCTACAGAAGCATTCTCCCGTGTTGTTCTTGACCTGTTGGGTCTGTTTTCTACGGCCGCCCCTGGTTGTTGGGGTCACAGGCTACGTAACACGGTGTGCCATTACTTTAGCCCTGCCAACAAGCGGTTCCACTCACGTCACTGACTTTCTCTTGTATGACGTCATTGTTTATACGACACCCCGCAGCAGCTGCTTACTGAACGAGCGAGGCATTTTTTTTTCGCTTGTTGTGGATGACATCCTCCGAGCCTGCTCCACTGAGCCCAGCTTGCCATCGCTTACCATCCAGAGATGAATGGATTAACAGAGTGTCTGAACCAAACGCTGGTGCAGAAGATGTCAATGTACGTTCCAACATTTCACCAGATAACTGTGGCTGGGACAAAGCACTTCCCTTTGCCACCTTAGCGTACAACTCCTCACAGCATGACACTGCTAGTTATTCGCCGTTGTCTTTGCTATTTTGCCGACATCAGCGTTACCATTTGAAACGCTCCTTCTTTCCGCGGCCCCCTTGTCTACTGTTGTGATCAGCCCCCTTGTTTTTGGACCACATGGAGCATGGAAGCATTCTGATTTTGCAGCACTTCCTGAGAGTTCTAGAGTCAGCGACAGCACAACGAATTCTTAGGTCTGTCGGCTCACCTCAAGCTATTTGGGCTCGCACGACGAACCGCGTACCTGGATAGGGCTCTTTTGCTGCCTGGGCTGCCTAGAAAGACTGAACCCTTGGCGTTGCTGGAGTCATCGGAATGCACCTTAAAAGAAACCGAGTGCCAGTGAACTATCTACCATCTTCAGGGACGTTTCTCGCATTCTAAGGGCCTTTCTATTCTTAATTTCCTGCGCACCACAGCCTTCCCGGCAGCGACGCCCGCCAATGAGGTCGTCTCACCATCGCGGTTGTGCGGTGCTGTCTCCTAGCGTATTGTGCGTACCCCCCTCCCTGTGCGACAAACTTCGAGTGCCTTTCCCCTTTCCTGAGTGGACATGGTGGCATCGCCATGAAAATCTCGCCTGACGTACCACTGTTCATGCAGGTCCTTTGCGCGTGCTTACGCTCCATAACCGAAGCCGCTGCGGAATCTTTTTAAACCGGATGCGCCGAGCTTCGCAATGACGCCGGCCTGCCACCATCCTTTTGTGTGGGTGTTGATCCCTTCCGGCTTACTGAGGACGTCTGTAATCAGCAGCTTTGTCACATCGACGATCATTTCGAACTGCACCTGAGAGCCCGACGACGTCACCACGCATGCCCACACGGGTCCGCCTGTATGCTTGAAATGCGGGACCATCACCTACCTGCTTCGGTAGACACGGTGGCATCGCCATGACAATGTAACCTGACGTACCGCTATTGACGCAGGTTAAGGACCAAAAGAATAGCTTCTATAGCGATTTCATTGCTCTTATAGTGCTGCCGTGTCCACAAGTTTTAGTTGACTGTATATGAGACTGTTTTTATTGTGTGTCTGTGTTAAGTCTTTCTGGTGATGTCGAGCTGAATGCAGGGCCTATAACGAACGCTGTATGCAAAGAATTTTTCCAATATCAAAAGCGAAATTCGTGTACACTTACAGCGGTTCAAGAAAAGCAAGATCCGTTTGAATCTAGAATCCTAGACATGCGAAGTCAGCTTCTTGTTATTGAGAGTAAGGTGCAAAGCTTAGATGAGACTCGCATCAGGCTCACAGCTCATGAAATAATTGTGGCTGAATGTTGTGACAAGTCATCTAGTCTGCTCAATCAGGTAGACAATTCGGGAAATTGTTCGAGAAGGATCAACCTTATCATAAGGATAGTAGCAGAAGATGAGATTGAAAAGGAAGAAACTCTATAAGTAAAAGTAAATGATGAAATCTTTGGCTCTACCCTGAAGGTAGACATAACGTCTATTGAGATAATTCATAGGTTAGGTAAAAAAATTCTTGTAAAACTGGCCCTTCATCTTTAGACTAGCAGACTATAAGGATAAAACGTAAGTCTTGCAGAGGTGCTTGTGACTGAAGAATACGGATATCATCGAAGACTTCTCTAATGGAGTACAGGGAATAATAAAGAAAAACATTGGGACTCTGCAATTGAAGAAAAGAAGGCAGAAAACAAGACTTGCTTTTGGCAATTTGAAGGCAAACAACACTCTTTACTGCTGGAATGAAGCGCGTGCTGAAAGATGCAAGTTTGGTATTGATGCTGTAACACGTGATAAGTAGAGGCACTGGGTTGGAGAAATAAGTTTAAAATAATCAACTTGAATGCCCAAAGTGTGTCAAATAAATCACATATGCATGAAACTTCGGTCGTTGATCACAAACTTTATTATATTGTAATCACAAAAACGTGGTTGCACGAAGATATATTAGATACAGAAATTGCTACACCCAGTTACTCAATCGTTTGGAGAGATCGTGGTGGAAGAGGAGGAAGGGTTGCTCTCCTAGTCAAGGAAGGCATTATTTATAGCTGTCGCGACGCAGCAGATGGTATTGAGGCCGTATGCATTAAAAGCAAACTAAATATTGTCACGCCGAGGTGTAGAAACCTCCGAATTCCCCTGTTTAGTACATTGGACAAGTAAGAAGATTCATATGCAGTCACTATAGAAAAACACAATGACTTCGTACTAGGTTATTTTATTATTCCGGCTATTGATTGGAATTCGCATGTGGCCGTCGACTGACACGATGCTTTGGGTGAATTTTTTGCCGATCTGCTATTCTCTTTCAATTTACATCAGGTTGTAAAATATATTCCTAGAGTATGTGCAACATGGTTTTGAGTATTTGATTTATTATCCAGTGCTTTGACTCTGTTTGTCAATCATTGCTTTATTGAAGAATGTTTACCAGACCATAAGAAGAAGATTCTGTTCACGAGCTTGTCGTTGTGCGGTACACAGCAGAAATCGGGCATCGCTTATGCGAACGTTGAAGCCACTGATGATGTTATTCTTTTGAATGTTCTTGAAAGGTCGTTCGACAGCTTGCCTGCTATTTATGAATTAAACAGGAGCTCTAAATTTTTCTGGGATTATTATCCAAATGTAACAATAAAATGCATTTGGCGATTTATCCGTGAGCGTTTTAAAAAGTGTAAAAGAAATAAGCCTTAGATCACGAGAGATGTAATTAATGTAATACGAAGGTTTGAAGGAAGAGAAAAGTTCATTCTCATGGTCGAAGTGTCCAGAAGAAGACTTCACTTTATGAGGTTTGATACAAATAGTCTTGCCGAGAATTCTAAGTAAAGATTTTTTAATGTAACTTTGAAGAAGTTTTA